TTGTACACACCGCCCGTCGTTACTACTGATTAAAACAGCTAGGGAGTCTTCGGTTGCTTTACTAAAAAAGCATGGGAATGCAGGGAGGGAGCGGTAATACCATTTTTTTCCCCATAAAAATGGTTTAAAAGAAGACCTGCATAGATGAGGCTACCTGGCACTTGGCTGTTTAAAAAGAAGTAACCTTTTTTTATAAACTTATCTACTGTTTAACAAACAGTAGATGCATTCATTCTTTGATTTTATAAACTTCGCTCATAGGGGGCATATACTTTGGTGACAGTGATGATGGATTTGCTGTGTATGTGATAGACTTGCCATGGAAGGTAGGGAAGGATGGTTGGTATTGGGCAGTTTATTTGGTCACTAAGGCAGTGTCAAAGACTTAATTGGCCTGTTACTGAGTTGTCAAGTCTCTGTAGCATTGGCCAGCTGTTTTGACCCACCGCAGTAGTCTATCTAGATGAGTTATGTCCTTCTTATGGGTTTCCCCACTCAATGTGCTGCCACCTCAACGTGGTGAGTGGGTGACAACGTCTATAGATGGCTAAGGGCAGCATGATTAAAGTAATAATATAGTGGCAAAATTAAGCAACACACAAGTCAAGAGACAAAACATTCATTCATTATATCCGCGTTTCACAGTGATGCTATGAAATAAAACGCGCGTATTTGATTGCGAAGCCTAAGTGCACACATATAAATTGTGAGACATATCTTAAATGACATAATGGTAGCAAAATTAAGCGCACACATATAATCGTGAGACATATCTTAAGCATAATGGTAAAATTAAGCGCACATATATAACATCGAAAAACATATTAAGCCGCAAAGTGGCAAAATTAAACACATATATAACATCGAAAACATATTTAAATGGAAGGTGACGAAAGTAAACAGTATATAATATCGAGAGATACGTTTGAGTGTGGCATGATGGCAAAAATAAGCGCACACTTTCTATTCCCACTCGATGTGTGCATTACATTATTTGCTTTTGACTGTATTCCGTGGTAGGGACTTTAGCCACCCAAGAGATTAAGTTCCGTAGGTCAAGAGTTTGGACATATTAATATACATGCTGAGATATACCTCGATGTCATCTCAGTTTATAATGACAAAACAAGTATCCATTCGCAATAGTTAAATAGTCCGATTATTATTATTAGTTACAAACGATAAAAATTTCTGCGTCGTTATAATCGGAATGCTATCTTAGATAATTATAGATAGCTTTTAAGGCAACAAGTTCAAATATGTATAATATAATCCAATATGTAATGAAATCAAATCGCATAAGATGAAGTGATTTAAATTAAATATTGTGTATGTAATAACTCCCATAAATTTCCATCTCATTTACACAACACAAATAAATCGTATTTGATTAAAAAGAAGACCCAATGGACTCCTGTATTATATCAACAGATTATTATCTACTGCTTACTATTTGTAAAGTGATCAATGATAATCACTTTTAATATTCCAAAGTAAATTGCTTCATGTACATTATACCACGTCATACAGTGATAATAAATATAGCGAATTCTTTTGATAGTAACGTTTCAATATTACCATTTGACTGTGTCGGATTTAATATCGAGACTTTGCAGATAGAGTGAATATAACCCATTGTGAACGATTCAAGTAAAAGTAATCTTCGAATCAAAGATGACTATCTAAGCTTATGTACACCCCTTACCAAAAGTCTTCGTTTAACATGGAAATTTGATTTATACTACTTAATAAATTTATACCGCTCGATTGTATTAATGCATTTGCGAACATTATGCTTACATTACGGGGTTTTTTCTACTCTCAAATACAGCGCCAACTCTACGGGAGCATCATTATTTTAAAAGTGAAGCTAATATTCTTAACAAACGTAAATTTTTATACACATCACCCGCAATACTTTCTCCAAAAAGCTTGCTTATTTTTAACAAAACACCCCCATCATTACTAGTCATCATTCTAAGTAGAATAAACCGGGGTTCCAATAATATAATTTTATTCTTTATTCCGAAATTTACGTGCCTGATAACATTTAAGTTATCTCAAACACATGGTTTTCTTTTCCAATGCGACCAAAATAGTTATGTTTATGTAGCACACGTCTGGCTGTACTCGTAAAATTAAGTTTGTTAATATTCGGTAATTTCTTCGAGATAATTGCATACTTATGATATCGTTTTCATAAACGTAATAAACTAATTTATTGTTTCATAGTTGCCATGGCTGTGTAATAAAACATGTTGACAATAATTTCTAGTCCTTATTGCTATGATAGACAACAACTCAATTCATTAAACAAATTTATAGTGCTAACTAACGAGCGCACAAAGTTCTATGAACAATTTACTCCAAGAGTTGCTGTATATGATTTGCCAATTAAAGTCGATCGATAGACACAAAAATAGACTTCGTAGTTGACGCATTTGATAGATGTGCCGCTACTGCAGCATTGCGAAAACTAACGAAATGGCTAAGTATTTTCCTGCATTATCTTTATTGCTTGATTCTTTAGAGAATTACTCTTTATACGAAAAGCACTACAACCATATTATTGCCAGAAAGTATTTATTGAACAACTAACTAAACAGGATGATTCAAGTCTTTTAAAAACAGAAGTAGAGAGTAAAAGAAGAAAACTTACTGATGACTGGATATTAACGATACTTCCGTTAGGTCACATTTTCATCGTTATGGCGAGTTATCGTTAATACCAGGAATTATATTATAGAGATAACATAATAGTTACGAAAAAAAATCGTTATACAAGATATTATCTATCTTGTTGATAAATAAATATAGAAATGGTGTAACGCTGACCAGCAAATCAGAGGATCTATTACAAGCAATTTAATTAGTAGAAGTATATTTATACATTTAGACTACTTTGGGCTTCTTTATGCAGAACAATTTTACTGATTGAGCTTTTGATGGGCTAGTATTGTAATAATGGCAGGAAGAATGTTCGACGTTTCTGAATATTCAAATGTCGAAAAAGTCAGAGACTAAAACGCTTTAGCTTCGGTATGCATAATAGATGTTTCCCCTAATAATATTATGCTTGCCAATTATAGTACGATAGAATTGATATTATCAAAATCTTGTGCCTTATATCTTTATCAAAAATTAAAGTACATGTTTCGCTGCAACCAACTTGACAGTGTTTACTAAAAGTTAAAGTTTATATAAAATTGTGAATAATTCTCTGTAGTCTAGATATATTATGTAGTAATAATTAAGCATCGTTATGAAGCCAATTGCTTGTACTTTTCGATGAATTAAAATGCATTTCTGTCATATAATTGAGTTCGATAAAGTGTTGGTGTATACGAAAACATATTTATTTATACGTGTGACCTATCTACTACCGCTTCGCCGAACTGCAGTTTTGTATCGATAACATATTTTAATCATAACAATACCTAATCATTGCTATTTACAGACTACAAAATTTTTTGAATAAAATATTTTCATGTTTTGCTAGTAAATCCGAAGACGTTGGTATGGGGAGTGTAACTATTATTTCTATTTTATTATTTTGTTAATTTACAAAACAAACGGCGTCAAATAAGAACTTATGTTGTATTGGAGTAAATTTTACTTGATCGACATTTTCATTGGTGTATATTTGAGTTTACGTGTCAGGTGACAGAATACAAGTTGTAAAAGATATCGGGCTAGGAATAAATAGTTAAGTACGTTCTGATTTGCATAATACTGTGATTTTTGATTATTACCAGATTAATAAAAAAATACTCTGAAAGACTTCCAGAGATCTTACGGTCTTTAATACCTGAACTTGGTCAAAAATTAATCAAATGTTCTCTGTTGGTTATCACAGCATTGTATGACAAATTTGTCGAAACCAATAAGAACCAGTAGCATGTTCTGACTTAGACTGGGAGTTGACCGAGTGATTTGGCTGTCATATGTCACGTAGACCAATGTTTTGATTTTTGTCTAAGCTTTCTAAAATAATATTGTAATTGCTTTATTAAACGTCTGTGACAATGTTTGTCAAACACGAAGCAAAATCCATGTATACAATTTAAAATTATAACCTAAGTAAATATGGACTGGTACTACTACAGATAAAGTGAATTGTTGGGAAAATAAGGGAATTATAGGGGCCCTTAGCCGTTTTCGATATCATTTTTGTCAGTCAATTTCTTAGAAAGTTGTTGATATTGTATATGACTAACATGTTCTTTACAGAAACTTGCATTTTTTAAAAATGTCTCGATGAGATTTGCAGGACATTGTGCTGATAACCATGTGACATTTACAATCAGAAAATATTGCAAACATCTCGTCGTGATGTCACCAACAAATTGCTAAATTTCTATTAATATCCTGGCGATCTTGTCACGAGATTCTGCTAGATTGTTCAACTTCGTAAAATTTCCATGCATCCCGGAAGTCTTGTGGGCACATCTTCACGATACACTAAAATTAGAATTCTCATGACAATCTCATTACGTAATGCCTGTTAGATAGTGGTGACCTTATTCTGATATCACAGAGAGATTTATAAAGACTACAGGTTTCTGTAAAGTTTGGGCCAAGTTAATTTATCCAGTAAATTTACAGCTAAATCCGTGCTATATTACTCAAAGTCTTTTATATTTATATATTTGACAAAACAAAATACGCTACATGTTATAGTTAGTGATAAGCATCATATTTATTCGTGGGTCTTCGACAATCGTATTAATAAATAACGTCCTATTTGTCACAATAACCTATGTAGAAGACTTTATTTGAATAAAAAACACAATGCTAGAAATGTTATATAAATTTATACGTGTATTGACTTTGCTTAACCAGTACTACAAATTCCCCCAATAGTAAATCAATAAACTATCTGAGGATGAATGTGTACAATGCGTACTATATTGTATTTATTGTTTGTTGCTTAATTTAAAGTGCAAGTATTTTATATTCTTATATATTACGTTAATGGTATAAATGAACACTTAGAGTAATACCACAGCATAGTTGTTATCATATCAATTATAATCTTGTTTTCAAAAGAAATTAACATATTGTTTTCGCACTTAGCGAAGGAGAATTTTGGCTTAAGAGAATTATATACTTAAAAAGAAAGTGCACATACAAGTAATCGAGTAAAGTGTACGAGTAAAAAATGTAAATAATATACGAATTAAGTAAAGTAAGAACCAAAATGAAGACGACTAATTTCCGTATTGCTGAAGTTAAAATTCGAATAACGCATTCTCATTAATAAAATTATTAAATTGCTCGTCCATAAACTCTTCGCCAGCGTAAGGGCTTATAATAGCATTATTCATGGCATCTGGAACATCCGTAGTAAACGGGTGATGACAAAGGTATACTGCTTCTGGCGGTGACA